CCTAATAGCCATAATGACATTAGAGTCTCCTCTCCACCCCTCCCCCCCCCACAATGTAGTAAAAGATATGGATATTCATATCTAACCTACATATATCCTAACCTACTTTAAGATTTCCAGGCTGGGGACATTTTTTAGCTTGTTTTTGGTTTGGCCATCAAATAAAAATACTGACTATTCACACAACTCTGGACTACACTGGCAGAAAGGATGGTCTTTGATGCTACATTTGTAAGGGGGAACACCACCTGGGAATTAGAAAGATCAATACTGAAAAATAGAAAAATAACAGATGTGGAAGAACCTAGGTTGATCTAAAGTAAGGTCAGACTCTAGAAAGTTACAGACTGAATAATGAAGGGGGCTAAGTCATAGGGTTTCATCTATAATAAGCAGTCCTAGCAATAACATCAAAGGACTGTTACAGATTAATTAGCAGGTAGTACTATTATCCACAACAATTTTCACCTCTATTTCCAAAAGGATAGGATAAAATATAGTTTAAGTACTTCATCTAGCTATTGCAGGAGGTGGATATTGGAGCACTGCCACCCAGAGCACAAGGAGCTGATGCGGACTGTGTACTTCACTGTTTACAAGGCTTACAGCTTCCTGAGTGACAGAAAGAAGAGCAAGACTTTTGGTTGAGAGCAGGACAACCAGCTGTTCTTGCCTCATCTTGTGTTTTTGTGAGGATCAGTTTTGGTTTAGCCCTCAGTCATGAGAGGGAGTGTAAAGGGGAATTTTCTGTGATTTTAGAACACTTTCCATAAAGTTAAAGCAGCTCAAGATAGCTGCATGACCAACCCTAGCTACACCAGAAAGGTATTTCCTCTTCTCATACACCATCTTGGCCAGAATTAAGTCTTAAGGACTACCAGTATGAATACTCAGACTTAATTAACATCTGAGGATTCTCCAAAACATGTTGTTCATCCTCCTGGTTGTGCATTTGGGCATTGCTATATCTCAGTGCTTGTAGTTAATTATGTGCATTACTCAGGTAAATGACAAAAAATAACACCATCCCAGCATGGGATACATCACCAAAAACATAAATTATGTATTAGCAAATCTTACTGTGCAGATAGTGATTTATGGACCTTCCCATGTAATCCAAGTGGACAAAACAGAACATGAAACAGAATTCCAGAGAAGTGATCTTATTTGTCACAGGTTATATAGCAGCACAGTGAAATGCGTAAGATTTAACAGCAAGCATAACTTTTAAGGTCTCTCAAGTTAAGTACCTAAAAACTACCTGAGAATTACTTTTGAAAATCTCAGTCATAAAACCACAACCTCCTCTATGAGATACTTCCAGTTTATAGAGGATAACTTCTACAGAATTCTTCAGAGAGAGAAATCTCAAAGACTCAATAGGTGTTTCTACAGTCTATAACATAAATGGGAATTAAAGGTATCCTTTGGTGACATATAAAAAGAAGAAAACATAGAAAATGAAAGAGAGCAGCATTTGCAGTTGTGCAACCGTGGAAAACCAAATGCTCTATTTTTAGGCATGAAAAATCAATCCTCACATCAGTGTGTAGCAGGGAGGTGTCTCTAACAAATACGGTCATTGCTGTGCCTGCCATCATGATGTAATATTTTCCAGACTACTAACTTCTGTTTGTTTGTTTCGAAACACAGTGTTTTCCTTGTTCCTTGTTTCATAGCATCTGAGATACAATTGACTTTCTTTTGATAAAATGACCACCAAGAAAATGAAAGTAAAACTGAGAAAAATCCCTGATCCTGTGTGCTGTTACCAAACACAGAACATAAGTCAACCTAATCAGGTGCAAGAGTTTATTATCAATTTTACATCTTTTAAAATCCACTTTTAAAATCCATTCTATACAATAGCAGGAAATATTAACACACCACTGTTTTTACATTTCTTTCAAGAACATAGGATACCAATGACTGTGCAAAGAGTAAGCTGTAAAAGGACATAATGACCACCAGATTTTAAACAGATGAAGTTGAACCACAGCAGAAAGAAGCACACAGGTAATGAGGGAGTTCAACCTGATGGTGTGGGGTGGCAGCTGGAAAAGATTATTTTATGTGAGATAGTGAAGCATCCAAACAAAGCTTGCGCAGATACCACTGATTCAAAAATTAAGCTAATCCCTTTCAAAATGGATTAATGTAGAATAAAGGCAAGTAATTTTGGAGAAAAAATAACCACAAGCAAATAAAAATGTATTGAGTGTTGCTGCAAGGCACTTTCTCTCTCTAAAATTCCAATTATGCCTAAATTTTCATGTACAGGCATGCTAAAAAGTCCAAATCGTTTTCAATGACATTTTGGTGTGCGCATAACTCTTAAGGACCTTGGCTGAACTGATCTGCTCAAAAGGCACCCAGGTTGATGGCAACTGAACCAGGAACTTAAGCCACCAAACTCCTAGGTCAGAAGAGTAAACAGCAGGTACAGAATTCTCCTCTTTATACTCTATTACCTTATTTAAATGTGCAAGATTACTCACTTTAAGTGTGCAGTGTGAGGGACCTCTCAGACTACTGATAAAACGCATATGCTGTTAAGCTCTTTACTGCAAATGACAAATGTCTCACTCAGCTTACGAACTTTTAAGAACTATTTTAAAATATGAGCAAACACAGCTATGAAGGAAACAGAAAATATTCTTCAAAGAACAGTTTTTTTTGTTTTTTGTTTTTAAAAGAAGTTCATGTGTCTGCCCAGATCAATCACAAGCTGAAAGGAGTACTTGATGACTATTGTGTATTTCAGTTAACACTATTTCATAAAACCTGGCTTGACAGAAGTATAAGATAAATTAAATCAAATAATACAAAAGTTGAAAGATGCACTAGCTGGCTTACGCTCAAGAATAAATATCCTGCCTCTGAACAGTAGGAAAGACTACACTAAAGCAACTGACCAAGTGGGCAGGGGATCAGTGTAAAGCCATTTTCATGTGTTATCGGCTCACTTTAGAGCACAGTTCTCAACATCAAAGAGGCTGCCCACACATTGTAAATAAACACTTGCTATTTTGGATGACGCCAAGGGACACTGCATTGTGGAGGATAAAGTTCTAAAGACTCTTTCTTACATTTCAAGGTCAAGGACTCTGATACTGAATGAATATTATGATACTGAGCATCTGGGACTCACAACCCCTGCACTGCCTGTTCAGTTTGCATCTTATCAGAGCTTTATATGAAGGCATGCTTTGCAATGCCAAGTTAAAAGCTACTCACAAATAAGGAACTTTTTCCCTTAGTGAAGATTACACTGAATATTATTTGTTTCTTTCGAATATAATGTGCACCTGTGTGCCTGTTCCCTGTAGTACCACAGTAAAGATCACTTCCTCATGGCATTTGAAAATGGGCCAGACACCTTAAATGTTTCATCTAGTATGAAATTCTTCAGATCATTTGTGGAAAGCAATGTCTGAGACGTAATGAACCAAGTGAAAAAGAGTTTACAAAATGCTGAAGCTGAAGAATAATTTAAAGAATATTCAACTATGGATAAATGATGCGAAGCAAAACCTGGCTTGGGACAGAAGTATTCTGTTCAGTACTCACAGGTCTCAAGTAACTTGCAGAGGCAAGAGTGAATTGAAATCAGTAGCATCTCTGGCATAAGACTGAGACAAGAAATATATACATATCTTTAACCACAGAGAAGCAGAATATCTTCCTGTAGTTATATCAGTCAAATTTCCAACTTTTTCCATACCCAAACCTGATATTAACAAATTAAAAAAAGGAAAGACTTTCACTACACAGAAAGCTTCTATGTGAGGCTCTGAGGTTGGTAATAACAAAAGCAGACCTTCTAATGTTTGTCTGTGGGCTTAAGAATAGGAACCCATAATACACCTCACTAATCGTAACACATCAACTAACTCACCAGTAAACTGTCATTATTCCAGTCTTTCCAGGTATGTCACTGCCATATTTGTAATGCACTGATGACTTGCCTAAGTTTCAGCTTTAGGCTCACAACGTTTTTTTTATTTTTATATATATATATAAAAAGAAATCACAGCACCAAATGTGGCTACTAGATACCAGCAAATCTTGAGTTCTATCCTTAGACTTAACCTTGATAAGTCTGTAAACCTGAGCTAATGTCTACGTTTCTCATTTTCCATAGCTGAAATATGATCTACATAATCAGTTTCTCCATACTTTGAGAATTAAAAGCATGATCCCAATCTACTAAACTTTCAGCTGCCTATTAAGTCTTTCAATTGTCTTTTCTGTTGTCCTAACGTTTGTCTAGCATAACAAGACTTCTGTGAAACAAATGACAGTTGTCAGTACACCACCTTTGAACTGTTAATTACATTCAGCAGTTAAGATATGAGCAGTAGTGAACTTCTACAGAAGTATTTAGAAGGAGTTACTGATCCAAGATCTTAACAGAAGCTAAACTGATGTTTCCAAGATGCAGTTATTACATTCCTGTAAATACAATGAAAACCCTCACACCAATGCGCAGTCAGGTGGCAATACTCCACATTGGAAATTGTGCTGGTAACTGAATGTTTATTGCAGTAAAGTCCATCAGTAGTGCAAATAAAAACTGAGGCTTTGATGTAACCTTCTGATAGGCCCTTACTTATTCAACTATTGCATGTCTGTATCAATAGTCCATTAGTGACCAGAATTAGCATAACGTATAACTACAGAAATGGGTTCCTCATTTCAGTAAAAAGAAACCAACTCCTATAAATAGAATAAGCTTACGCCTTTTTACATAGGACAGTATTATCCTATGTGTTATATACTGTGATTACTCTTGCAAAATTAATGAGGAAAAAACCTCATACTGCTCATTAAACTGTTGATGCCACAGTCTCTTATCTCCTTTTACTTAATTTGCACCCATCTTTTTTTTTTTCAGAAATTCTGGATGATTGAATAAGAAAACATAGATGCACCAGTGTGTTTGGTATTATATTTTCTTTGCAGCCACCATCAGGAGATTTTGAAGGGGACTGGGAATAGAGCTGCGTTTGCGATTGGGTAAGTCTTTTCTACAGTGGGCACTTGGTCCTGTTACAGCCATTGTGACAGCTTATCACTAGCACAGCGGCATTAACAAAACACCAAATGCAGACAGGTACATTGATATATTGTATCAGTGTTTTCTCAGCTTGCAACTGGGTCAAGCTCTGCTGGTGCAGAGACACTTCGCCTATGACTTGTAGGGCTTACACCGGTACCACTATGTCACAGCCAGCTGCTAGTAGTGATAAGTGAGAAAAAACTTCTAATTTAGAACAGACTCTGCTTTTTAATGAAATGTAAAGTAGGAGTAGTGGAAAGTAGATCTGACTACAGGGAGTTTCTTTGTCTTAGCTGGGTGCCTTGTCTACCAGACTACAGAATCAGAACAGTTCTTCCATTCTTTTACTATGAACGTTTTCTTTCCACAGCTCCACCGTCAGCAGCAGATAGACTCTCCAACAAGCCATGACTGCAGTTTGGTTATCTGAAAGAAGCTTACCTGAGAATGCAGGAGTTTGAATCTCCTCACACTGCCTCACACAGTGTGAGCGCTCTAATATAGTAGTCTAATGATTAGAGAGGTGAGCACAGCACCACCATGACTATCTTCTTTAAGGCTGAATTTCACATAAGAAGTGGCTTTATTCTACTTGAGAAATGCCCAGTCTCAGAAGCGTGTGTTATATATGCCCTGAGCGATCCCACCTGATTGAAGCTTTCAGTGGAACAGAGAACAGGTTTTGAGTCTCAGCAAGGCTGGGCGGAAGAGAGGCACAAAGTTGCCCAAACTAAGGTGATTCTGTGGAATGTGATGAAAAGAACTCAATTTACTGCAGGAACTTTCAGGTCAAACAGGACACACCTGGTAAATTAGGGCATCTCCAGGATTAAATGACTTCAGTCCAAAATTTTTATCCAGAAAACTTCTACTCAGAAGTGTCTAAGCTCTGCCTAAATCCTATTTTAGAGTTCAGGTTCTCATCTACAGCTAGACTAATACAACACTTTTGGCCTCAAATTATGTTGCCAAAGAACAGAATTAGTACTATCTTGAAAGCAGGAAAGCCTCAGCTATGCCAGCTGAGCGACTCTTCAGTCTTATTATTAGAGAAACACGTCCGCTTCAGACATCAGGGTAAGTTTCACTATTACAAGGAAGTAAATAGCTGTTTGCACCACATTTCCCCACTGCCAAGAAAATTATCTGCTCCATAACAGAGTAAATAAAGTTATCTGCACATTACATTTCCATTCTACTAAAAGGTGTGTTATTCTGAAAAATCAGATTATATTTGTATAAAAAATGACTCAGACATCGCATCATGCCCTACAACTGAATCACTACTGTCAAAATACTTAGTCATGATATCCCCTGACTCAACAACCATGTTCCCTTCTGCATCCTAGTAAGGACCGCACGCTCTACCAATTTCCGAAGACTAAAATTCACAGATCCTGCTCCTGCCATATGAGTTACATCTACCTACTGTCACACCTCTGGTTTGATGTTCCCACATCTCAATTGGTACCTCAGACTTTGGAGCTGCAGACATGTCATGGTTACACTTTCCAGCTCCTTGGTGCTTTTCCTGTCAAGCTATCCATAAATTAAACAACAGGCATGTAAGAATTATTTACATACATATAATTATCCTATTAAGTAATTGAATAAAACATTATATCTCACGTTACGTAAAGCTGGACAATTATAGCAATGGAGCCTGTTGAGCACATCGCATTCAGAGTTCAGGAAACAGCATGTTTTCACACACTGTTATTCCTATTGAGGCTTGATGTTTTCACTATAGCACTGATATAAAGCTATTAGTGCATCTCCGTACCCCAGACAAAATATATATAGCAGAACAGGAGTATAATATTGCTCATTTCTTGATTTATAATATTGTCTGTTCTTGATTGAAAGTAGCACATTCCAATATCTACCATCAAATCTGTTTAAGCTTTTTTATTAAAGCATTCTGTTTTCTATTGTTTATTGTAAAGTATGTTTACAATAACTATGTTTCTATGTTACTGTAAACTGCCAAGGCTGACATTTTCCATGCTTTACCTTGCATCAAATTACTCTGGAAAGTTTAAACCAAAATGGTTGCACTTTCCAAAAATGTATTTAAGGAGAAAGCAAAATGTGTTTCACCCCATATAAAGAAAAACATACACCAACTTTGTTGAGAAGCTCTATCGCATTCATGCTTTGTATCTGAAACTAAACAGAAGAGCGGCCCTAGCATAAGCCCTTAGTATGGTTTGATGTTCCTATAAACATCAGAAAAGGATCTGAGGAAGAGAAGGAAGTGGTAGGGGGACTAGATGAGAGAAAGAATCAAGGAAGATGTAGAACAAGAGCGATAAAAACTGAGGGAATGTAAGATGACGTGAAAGATGCAGGACTAGAAAGAGGAACAGTAGCAGGGGATGGCAGAGAAAGAAATAACAGAGGCAAGAATTCTTGAAGAGGAGGGGTTAAGATGAGCAGAGAAAAGGAAACTGTTTAACACAACACTTTATGGTATAAAGTTTCATATATGGCCCCAATTTCTTTTATAGCACTTATCTGAAATTCTTCTTGACTACCTAAACTTATTTTTGCTTCTTTGAAATGAAAGAGAAAATCTGGAGCCTAGACGAGAGCTGTGTATAGCACTGGAGTCATATTTTGGGAGGTGAGGAAGCTCAACAAATTCAAAGTAGCAGAAACAAATGAACCCAACCCTCAAATCTTTAGGACTTGAGATGCGCATTAGCAGCATGCACTGCCACCTGGAGGCTGACAGTTCCAACTACAGATAAACAGAAAGGTCACATTTCAAAAGGAAACTCTTTTCCCCCCAATTAATTTAATTTAAGATAGCTAGTTTCTCTTTAGCTTCAGATTATCCTAGCTAGTTTTAAGATAGCTAGTATTGCTTCTGAGTTTTCCCTGTTGGAAATCTATTAGGGCAGTGAAAAGAGGCTCTTTTTAAAAAGGACATGGACACCCATTTTTAAAGGACATTACATGTTGCAAAAAACTGTGATGGCATCTACATTTGTTCAACACTGCACATGTCAGTGATCATATCAGTGAGTGCCTGTAACTTGGCTGAATAGTGTCCCTTTCCATGGGAGCTTAGAGGTCAGGGTCACAGGGGACAGGCACCCACCTTTAAATAAAAAAGGATGACTGGTAGTTCAAGCACAAACCTACGGAGTAGAACAAAGGGATGCCTGTAGCAGGGACAGGCATGACATAAGCCTAACCAATCTTACTATCAACAGGAGTGGAAATACTGTGGTTCAAGTCTCATATGAGCTTACAACCCTCATGACCTCCGTTCAGTAGCTTATGCATCTTGTCTTTCCTCCAATCAAACTTCCCTTTCACTCTATGGTCCTGATGGAGGACAGTCTGATGTCAACAGACTGACATACCCTAATTGAGAACATTATTCGAACATGATCTTAAATCCACTGATACTTATGCAGAAGAACCAAATAAACAACTTGACATAACAAGTGTATCAAATATTATTATGATATGCTGGATCCAGGCCTAACAATATAAGGTACTCCACAATCAAGCAAAGAGTAATTTGCTCTGACCCTCAGTGAGATTTTGTCAATTTTGCAGCCTTTCAGTATAGATCTTTATGCTTAGATACTAGTTAAGTTCTCTTAGATGAGACTGTAATTCATCAGATATGAATGGCAAACAGGGCACTATTTAGTATTTGTTAATGACTTGCATTGCACTACATTATGTGCAGGAAGGCTTCCCGAGAAGCTCTCTGTGCTCCTCAAATCTTTGGGAAGTTTGGGCCTTAAGCTAAGGTTTGTGATTATACATGGCAATACTTTGAACCTAGACTGTACCTTGTTATCTACAACCTCAAACAGCTTCAGAAATAGTAATTTAGCTTCATGACGTCCCAATGAGATATAAGTTATTATACTTGTATTATCTAGGGGAAAACTGCAGGCAATATCTATACTGTAACACTGGGCTTATTTGCTGGTAAGTTTTCTAAGGATGTATACCAGTGACACTTTTGTCTTCATCCTTCCTCTTCTACTTCTGGTCTTTATACTGTGTAAAAGAAAAAAAACCACACACACAAATAATTGATTAATGGTGGTAAAAAGTGAATAACTAAAAACAACAACTAATACTTACACAGAGTCACATGTGTACTCATGATTCACACAAAATTACTTTTACTTCCTTTAAGTTAGACTGAAATCTGATAGGCTTTCCCTCTATTGATATAAAATACTGGATACGCAATTGCTTCTTGATGGACACTAAATCTGGGCCTCTTCTCGCTTATACCATTGGAAAATTTTTAGTTCAGCATAGTAGACTACAGTCTCTGCTGCAAAATCAGAATGAGGCTTTTCATAATTCCAGGAAGAATAAAAACAGATTCAGGCATAGACAGTTATTTACTAGGCCGTAACTGCTAGGATTTTGCTACCACTAAAGTTCTATAGATCTATGACTAATCTGTGTTTGTTCTTGTTATAATTCTCATTTTGATTTCGTGGACTGGCAGAGAGATAGACTTTACAATCGTTTAATAAAATCAAATCAGAAACACTTAGAAGCAGCTGAACTTTTGACTTGTTTCATTATATGCTGAAAAATTCATGTTAACAAACTATGCTCCCCAGCCAAAGTTAAATCTAAGGAAATCCAGGTGACTCTCAGCTGCATAATGGAACATAAGCAATCTTAATTCTTTTATCTAAGAATCTGGTTTATCTTTCAAGCCACTTTTCTTCTGCTAGTATGATTTGTTGATGGGGCCTTTCCAGCAGGAACTTGAGGGATATCTTTCAGCAGTATGTTAGTAAGGAGGCAGTTCCACTGGGCGATAACTATGACAGGAGCAAAATGATTGCTACAATTTTGCCACTATGTTGTTTAACCCTGATCTGCACAGCTCAGGCAAAACCTGAGAAAAGAGCATTCTGGGAATTTATGTAAACTGATTAACAGAGGATAAGTTGCTGTTTGGAAAGGAACTGATAGCTGTCAGTGAGCTGTGGCTTTAAAATATTGTGGCTTTTTCTCTATAATAATCGAGCTATACTAGCCACCACTGTTGACTTGGGAAACAAAGATTTACACAGAGACCAACTTACAGCATAGCACCATTGATTCTCATACAAGTTAGCGTATATAAGTAGTGTATCAACAACACTATCTCGATCATAAATCCCTAGTGCCTAGATATTTCCTTTACCCCCACTCTTCAATGCCCAGGACAGTACAACAGTTCGCTGCTCCTAACTTGCTTTCCAATGTTTTCTTCTTCAATTTGAACTGAGCAAGAGCAAAATTTAGCACTATAGGAGGCATTTGCTTACTTTATTCATGACCCAGTCAGCATCTTCAATGGCTCTTTTAATAATCTGCTGGATTCGCTCAGGATTGTCTTCATCCCCATGAACTTTGAAACTCTGCAACATTTGATCAAAGTGTTACACTTATTAGCCAACTTAACGCAACAGCTGTCAAAACAAGGATCAGTTTTAAACCCCAAAGTAAATATTTGATAAAAACAAACTTTGGATCTGAAAAGGTAACAATGTACATTGTAGCAACCTGGCTGTGCTATTTTCATAATAAGTCTGGGTGAGTAATTTCATACTAAGTACTTCACCCTTTTCATTCATCACCACAGGATCAAATAGCAAAGAGTGCTAAGATGAACACAGACTCCTGAGAGCTTCAGTTCAGCACAAACAGGATCTATTCTTACTTAGAAAAGCATCAAAGTACATGTATAAACTTAAGCATGTTACATCCTAATAAATAAAACCCTGAATAGCAAAGTTTTCTTGAAATTACGCCTAGAACAATGAAACTAAAAAAGACACAGACAGGACAACAGATATAATCAAAGGCATGAAATTACTTCCATATGAACTATTAGATAACATTTACTCAGCTTGAAAAAAAAAAAACAACACAACCACTGACAAGGAACCAATCTACAATACCATGAAAGACATGTAAGTGAATAAGGAATGACTGTTCCCTCTCTTGACAAAACACAAGAACTAGAGATGGAAGCAAATGAAAAAACATGGTAGCAGATTCAAAGCAAACAAAAAGAAGAGCTCCTTCACACACTCCCAGTATAATCCTTTGAATATCATTCAGGTTTCAAGTTTGCAGAAGAGTAATTTTTTCAGTGCCAGCAGTTATACAAAGTTGGTGCAAACAGCTGGAGAAACGAAAGAACATTACAAATTACACCATCCCGTTCTCACCTGTCTGATTGCATGTCTGTAATGCTGACGAATGTTCTCTTCGGGAAGTTGCTTACAGCATCGAAGCAGGTAACGATATAACTGTAAAGAACTCTGAACTAATTCAGCATTTGGTAGTGGAGCCATTACCGTGTTATTTAGCTGTTAAAAATAAAATCAGGAAACCAAATTTTATTAACAAGACAGAAATAAAACTGAAAAATAATTTTACAATAATGAAAATGGGGCCAGTAAGTTAAAATTTAGCAGCATAACTTGAAGAAAACACAATATGAAATGGATCAGAATCTGGGTAGTTCATGGAAAGATGGGGTTAGCTGGCATTGATCAAGGTATAAAAATTAAAGTGTACAGTTCATTCAAAGATCATTTTTTGATGGTAGTATTTAAGGTGTGTTTCAATTTAATTTTTTTCCAGTTTAAAAAGAAACTTAGTCCCATAGTATAAGCCACTAGCAATATTCAAAACAGTATCACAGCTAGAGAGAGTTGTCTCTTCTCTGAGCCTTAATCTTTACACTCATGCATACTTCCAGTGCTTTCAGTGAGTGTTCATAAGGGTCCATCCACACGGTTACTTTGCAAAATTAGGACTCTCATAATTGCTATGAATGGCCTTGAATTTCAACAATATTTCCTAGCATTGCTATTATCTCAAGAGCACCATATGAACTGGCTTGCAAATTTCAGGCTTTAACTCAAGATAATATTTATAAATACAGAAGAAGATATGCAAAAATAATGAGAACTCTGAAATTTTCCATTTAAAGTAACAACAACAGAAAAAGAACAAATCTAGCAAGTTTCACCTCCACAACTATACATATATATTGTAACAGTTAAGTCCATCCAAGCTATATAATGTGCTAATCAAATGCCGTAAACGAGTTGTCATTTAACAGATGGTTACCATCTGCAGAGAACTAAATTAACATTTGGAAAAAAGTACTTTTACCTCATTACTCTTAAGAATAAAGGTAATACATAAGTAACTGAATAATAAAGTAGGTGTATGGTATTATTTTAGCACCTGTTCTGATACTTACTCATCATTTGGAATATTTTCTCTCTTTTTCTTCTTTTAAATAATTTAAATTTTGGCAAAATTTATTTCTGAGTAGAACACCACAGTAACTGTGTCATGCCTGGACTGCTTAGGCTCCAGATGATGCATTTACGCTTTTAATCTGAAATTAATTGTTTCTCTCGGACTGCACTAGCTACAGCTAGGTTTAACGACACTGCCAAACAACCAACTCCAGTTTCCCAGCAGCGCAGCAACAGCTCCATCTTCTCTTACTCTGCTCTCTTCTCTGCCACCAGGGACAGACTAGCCCAGGGCCATAGCTCCTTGAATGGTAGCATCGCCCTAACTGCGTGACTGACAAGGGGTCTCTTTGGGGTAAGTCTCTGAAGCACTTCATGTAAAAAATGGAATATGCAATTACTCCATGCAGCCATAGCCTGGACACCCCTGTGATTAAAAGCACAGGATGAATATTCATAGCATGTCTCATAATATAAAGCCTATATTGCAGTTCAATATTCATACACAGACATTGACAGAAATAAAACGATCCCTTCCAGTGTTCCCTCTTCATAGCACTGGAGGCCTCATATCATACACAGTGAATGCAACAATTCTTACTTTTAGCAGGAGTATCATGGAGTAACCCATCTATCTCTACAGAAGTCAAGAGAAATGTAGGAGATTTTAAATAACCCAGAGGAAATCAGATCTGGGGTCTGGTGGTCTGAACAGAGGGCAGTAGTACCAAAAAATTCTGCTACTTTTTTGAGTAACTGAACAAGGGGAAAATGTCTCTCAGGTAACTATTTCAGCTTAGGGCTTTACATTAAAACAAATTTTTAATTCCAGCTAGAAGATCACTGGCAGATCCTACAGGTCTCAACAAAACAGGTATTAAACTCGTTCAGCCAACTTCAAATATCAAATGGCCTCACTGTATCAGTTTAATTATGAAGTTCTTCTGCCAGGATTTTCAAACTTGTGGATGTGTCCCCTTATGACTTCTTCTCTACCCTTGTCTCCTGCTCCATGGAACAGATCTCTTAACTTTGCCATGCTGACAGGAATTACAGATGTAAATTCATCTTTAGGGGATGATTTTTATGCTAGAGTCATATTTTTATTAATTTAACCACATTATGGTCCCATATCATCTGTCAAAAAGAATAAACATGACAGTAACCTACTCACATTCTTTTCATGCGAATCAAGAATGATAATGTGACAGAGGAAAAGTGAATGTGATTAGAAGAGTAACACTAACTAGTTAGTGGTCTGTGTAGGACACAGTATCAGATTTGGTAGACCCTCTCTGCTGAAATTTCTAAAGCTAATACATAAACTATCATAAAAAAAAATACATTCTTTTACTTTTAAGGGTCCAGCTGGACCCTTAGTTTGGTTGGGTTGCAAGATGTCCAGAACCCCCAGATAGGCCCTCTGCGCGCACACACACAGATCAACGGCCCTGCTCACTTACCATGCCTCACGTAAGTGAAATTTTAGATATTAAACATGCAGACCTGGGCAGAAATACAGCAACCTTTAAATATGTTTCTCTCTACATCGATTAACAGGTAAATTCTGTAGCTAGAAAGAAATAAATATTATTTAGCCAATGCTAAAAATGAAATTAAAGTCTTATGGGTTCCCTATGGGAGAGAGGGACAAGGGAAGAGAAAAAAGGGGAAGGAGACAAAAAATAATTAGTGATCTGTCCCCAGGAATCCAAGCGTTCAGGCCAATCCTAATTGGAAAACATACTGGAAATACATAACATCATGGATTTGTCAGCATAAAACAAAACATCACACATAATGGACAATGATATCTTTATAAAAAAATGCTAATCTATGTAAAAGAGGAAGAGGTGCCTGAAATAGTAAAAGCGTTCTCTTCTAGAGGATACAGTTTTCTCTTCATCTGCTATGGAATTTAGTATTTCTCAAGCTTCTTGAAACATAACAAAGTAAAAGCTCTAGGCCAATAATGTTAGTAGACATTTTAAAATTATATTTCTAAGCATCTAGTCTATGCAAATACACACAGAACTTTTTGCAATGAGGAAACTTTTCACTATGCACCTATAAAATGCCCATCTTAATCAGATAGGTACTACTGTAATCCATGTTTTCAGCAAAATGGGATTTCATCTCAGTGTATAGTTGTATAGGTATAAATTAGCATATCTCTACAGCAATAACAAGCTACACTGCTTTATAGTAGCAAAGGAGCTGACTGAAAAATCTTTAAAGCACAAGTATCTATTCAAGTATGACTCTTCTGCGAATAAAATTAAAACAACTATCTGAAAAACAGAGAGTGAGCTTTATTCTGGAGGTATGGGTTTCTACCATGCCACTTTACTCATGGTACAAAGCCACAGTATAAGGTCATATCTGAGCACCTCATGGTATTGCTTTTTCTGTTCATTACTGAAAGAAGGGGTGAAATCTATGCTATATCGATTTAAACAAAAGACAGATTCAAGAAAAGTAACATCCTGTAAAATGAGAGCTGTTCCTGTGGCAGAGCATCTTGTCTAGAAGAAATGTGTGAGAAACAAGTGCTTTGAAACATTAGCAGTATTACGCCTATTGGACCTGTGCCCACGTTCTTCAGTGAGGGATCCAGGCCTTACCACGGTAGGTACTGCATGTCTGTATGTATATACATACACACATTTTTATATATACACCTATAAGTGAAAAAGTTCATGCCACAAAGAACTTACAGGGCAGACTAATGACAAGTCATGAGATGAGGCAGATGAGCCAAACAGGTGGGATTGGAATGGGGAGGAGGTGACAGTAACATGAGCATGTTTTTGTGTAGCCTAATAGAGCACACAATATAGCTCACCACCTGCTTAGCTGATATCAACAGGCAACTTTTCTAACACTTTTCTTTTTTTTTTAAAAGGACCTGAAGAAACACAGTGAATCACAGCTGATGACAGTCATTATGGAAGCCCCTAAGATAGGCTCTGATGACAATTTAGAAGAAAAACCCTTTCTAGCTTCCAAGGGAAAATGACTGTTCTTAAAGAGTATACAAAAAGGTTATTCTCACATGAGCTGATAAGGTAAAATATCAAAACTAATTCAATAAGTTTAAAAACCATAAACCTTTGAAGAACATATGTCAGGATCCCTTTCCTGCTTATTTATACAATCTCAGCTTTGCTTGCATCTGAAATGGGCTCTGTGTAGTTCATTTGTGACTTTAGTCAACATTACTTTAGGCACCACTCAATGTGCCTTTTTGGATCCTGGGGCTTAATGCTTCTCCTTATGTCACCTGAGGATTGAACTCCAGCATGACTACGATTGGAGATGAGAAGGGAGGCAAGATGTTGAGTTACCCTCTATGTATTCTGACACCTGGAACGCATCAGTGCAACGGACAGAACCTGGCTCTGCTACAGCACCTAAACATTTATAGCTGCTCACTGTAGCTCCAGAGATTTAAAGGACACATGGACAACAGGCTGGCTTGTCAGAGAACAAAATAGTGCAGGAAGACAATTGGAGGCCTGTCAAAAATAGCCTGGAGCACAGGAACTACTGTATACACATTGCTGCAATTTAACTTGCAATATAACTGCAAGGTGATATCACTTATGACTCCAGCCGGGGTAAATCAATCACAGTATTTCAGTTACATCATACAGAACTCCTCTGTAACTGCAAATCAACATAGCCTACTTTACAGTGGAGTAAATCACCTGAGTGGATAAGTACTTGTTTACCCAACTGATTTTTCTGAAAAAAATTAGCTTTGACTGTAATAGTGCTCCTACAGTCCTATCAATAGTCAAGGCTTTAATGTGGCAAGAGCTGAATTTAAAAAACAAAGCCCTCTTCCCAAAAGTATTAGAGTATAAAGATTTAGGATAAGAGCTGCTCAGAAACAAATGCCGATCACACTGAGCAACTCTCTAGTAAGAAAATACCCCCAAAGGCTCACAAATCTAGGTTACAGTGGCTTTTTTTATAATTCCGTTGGAACTTCATTACCAATATGCCACATATTTTTTGACTGCAACGAGTTGAAGGATCAGTGTATGTTGCCATTTCCCCTACATCTTTTATTAATGCTATGGTGGGTT